TTCTGTGAGTGTGTGAGTCGTCCGTGTGCGTATGTTTGCAAACCGTGCGTTGCATTCTATATCGTATAGGCTCCACCTCTAAGGCTATTGCTATTGGATTTATCACTTGCGAACCTGCGCAGCACTAAAGAGTTGTATGTTGCGGTCCACCCCATCCACAAGGTGGGCCCCTCCCATGGCAACCTTTTTCTGGAGTGAGAGTCACCACCATGGTGGCGGGGCAGCGTCCTGCTCCCCCCATCCAGGGACCTGCTGACGGCCCGTCTGGCAGACCAGTCCCACCAATGTGCCAATCAGGCGTCAGCAGCGACCAACAACCTGTCCAAGCCCATCCACGAGGGGGCCCCGCCCCAGGTCTCCCTGAGGTATAAAAGCGACTCAGACTGTGTCATCTGTTCCCTTTTTCTTCGTGTTTGAACTTGTTTTTATGTGAATGTTTACATTTATATCAGACTCCAAAACAACACCCAGATTTCTTGCTTGATGTGTGGCTTCTGTGAAATTGATGGTAAATGAGCGCTGACTCATGATCCCTCCTGTTTGGGACCGAATACAGTTATTTTGTTTGAAAAAGGAGAAGGCCAAGAATAGACCCTTGGGGGACCCACATGTAATCATTTCATGTTCAGAAACATTTTTACAACCTGAAATAAAGTATTTTCTACCTTGAAGGTAAAGAATACAGCCGTGCAAGTGGAATGACACCACAGTGTTCTGTATTTATGACTTTATAAAATCATAGCAGCTTATATGAGTATATAGAGGCCAGTCTGACTTTGGGGCCTTGTAATACCAGTTATGCCGTTCTTTCAAGCCAAACAGAGTCATAGCAGGTGGCGGGTCAACATGAGTCTGGTTCTGATCCAGGCTTCTGCCTGTTCAACATGAGTCTGGTTCTGATCCAGGCTTCTGCCTGTTCAACATGAGTCTGGTTCTGATCCAGGTTTCTGCATTTTTTTATCTTCCCATTGTTACTTTGCTAAATGTTTGTCTGCTGATGGATGAATTTTGTGTTTCTGTAAATATAATAAAGAGTAAAGTGCAGAGCGGCTGTTTTTGTAGAAAACATTTATTATGAATTGGTGCTGAACAAATAAAGATTGATTGACTGAATGATTGATTATCTCCAAATGATAACGAGACATTTGACAGAACCTGAAAATGTAAAGCAGATTTAGAAACATGTATTTCTTATCCTCCCAACATGTGGTGTGATGTTTCCTCATAAACAAAGCGCTCATGGACTTACAGAAAGAACAACGCAGGAGACCCGGTAAGCCTGAATGTTACAGTCCTTTAATCCAAGGAGGTTTGACAAATACATTTTATTATGAATTATAGAATATCATTTGCATACACATACCAATACAGTCACAACCTGAGTGATAGAATATTCATAGCACCTCTTAAGTTATCTAAGTGTAGATATTTGGAGGTAATCAGCATTTTCTTAAGCTTTAAACAAACTAAATCAGCTAAATCAAATGTAGCCAAACAGACTTTTCACTCACTAATTCAAACCAAAATCCTTCACAGCAGCACACATCCTTTTCCTCTGCGCTACTTTTGCATCCTTCACTGCACCACGGTTATCTTTCCTCATGGTGAAGACCACAGAGTAAACTTTAGTCTCCTCATCAATCTGGGCAAAGATAGACATGAGCAGTTAAATGGACAAAAACATAAGGACAACATGAACATCTTTAAATGATTTACCTGTTGATTTTTCACCCTCTCGCTGTTTAATTGCAGGACGACAGCAGCTGGATAATGAAACAGAAAATACATGCAGAGTTAAAATGAAAGATGAAGAAGGTTTGATGATTTTTTGCTGCTTAGAGAACGAGTTCGTCTCATTACTTGAGCCAACAACCACAGCTGTTAGGAAGATTATAACCCGGCAGAAAAGTGTCTTCCTCCTTCTGAGAACACGTTGTTACATGAAATTGTATAATGCTTTTAGAACGGGTCATCGTCACTAACCTTTAGATTGTTCACTTTCTTCTCTCGGAGTTTGGAAGCAAATGAGAGAAACATTTCCAATCAGAGAAATCACCAAGCAGAGTATCGCTATGACCAGCCCGATTGATTCGGAATTTACTGTTCGTGCTAGACAACAAAGGAAATACAAAAGAATGATTTAATCATGAATACATTGTGAACGACAGTAAAGTGCATGGCCCTACACGTGCACGGCGTATTTGGAAAGAGAGTTATGGCAATACTTCAGATTCAACTCCCCACTCTGCCCTAACATGTGTAACTGGGGATAGACTCAGTACTCATCACTGTGACCTGTATGTGAAGGTCAGACGGCCTTCTCTTGAAGAGAGGCGCAACAGACATTGGTTTTAATATATTTTCCAGGACCTTAAATTCCTTAAAAAAGGAGGGTGGGCCACACCCATATATATAGATTTTCACACCAGAAAGCTGACAGGCACTATGATGGCAGGTGTGTTCAAACATACAAAACGCACACCATCCACTCCACCACCAGCACCCCCCAGCAGCCGTTATTACGCAGAACAAGTCGAAGGATATCTCTGTATGATGCTTTTCTTCTTTGCTGCTTGATGTGGTTGTTGTAATTTCATGAAGATCTTGTATGGAGGGACAGAGATAGCATGCTGGGAAGCTGATGTCATGCTTTTTAATGCTTCATTTATTTATCAAATTATTATATATTTGTTGGGTTAGGGTTCGGGTTACACTGTTTTACAATCAGTAACTTTTACATATAAACTTGTTTTCAAATTGTACGATTAGAAACTGCACTTTTATGCACTGCTGCACTTTACAATGTACTTGCATTTGCACTTTGCATTTGTTTTATGTATCATCTGTGTTTTATGAAGTATATGTGATTCTCACTGCAACCTAATGGTACCAATAAAGTCAGTGAACCTGAACCTAAAGGCTCGTCTTAGTTGGACGACTGTCCAAATAAGGCTTATTTCATAGACTCAGATGAATACAAGTCAGGGCACTGAACTCATCATTTCAACACCAAGGAAACATTTACCTTGTTTGGCCGAGTCTGATCTGTTTCCAGAAGTTTTCTCCTCACACGTGTCCACAGCAAAGAAGTAAGTCCCTCACCAGAACAGCTGAAGTTCTGAGTGACACTGCAAATACATTTCTTTATCGAGACTCCAGCCGGGTTCCTTTCACTTCCTTTAACACTGTTCTCTGGAGTGAATTCCATCTTGGATGAGACTGATGTGATCCGGCTCTGAAGCAGCACGCACTGTGTTCTCCTGGACAGGTTTGCTTCTTCTCTCTGAGTCTCCCGGACCGACCGATCAGGAGGACGGACTGCAGCGTCTCAGGTTGTGCTGCTGGAGATTAAAATCTGATTTTTAAATGTAATTCTGTCAACTCTCAACACATCTTTTTACAAATAGCTAAATTAGTGTAAATTATAATTAGCTCACCTTTAACTGTCAGGTTTGTTCCTGTCAGAAAAGTCAAGTTTCGTTGATTTGTTCTCATACAATAATAAAATCCTGTATCCCTCAGCTCTGCTTTTCTCATACGCAGAATAAATTCTCCTCCCTTATCTCGTTGTTCCATAGTAATGCGTGAATTCTTCACATCCAAGCCATTTGCTTTTCCTAAGTATTCAGGAAAGTTTCCAGAACCGAGGCGGATCCAGAAATAGCTTCCTGTAGAGTCAAGCTTACACTTCATTTCAACCTCGTCTCCGACTGCAGCAGTCTTTTCATCAAAGGACGGATGATTCATGCATCCTGAAAAGACATTCTGTCACATAAAATTAAGAGATGACAGACTTGTGCATGCTCTCTTCTTCAACGTTAAACTTTAGTTCTTTACATGTGTAGGAATATTTGAGAGTACCTTACGTCCTCTCTGAGCATCATCATCACGCAAAGCACAAACAACATTTTCTGTTGGGAGTAATGAGTAAAGTAATTATATTACTTTTAAAAAGAGTAATGAGTAAATATTCCTTTTTTCATAACGAGCCCAACACTGATCGTAAGTTTAGTTTCAACAGCAACATGAGGGCAAACTTTTGACTTGTGAGAAATCAGCTACCTGAGAAAAAAATAGTTTGAGCAGATATTTCTATAAACTTAAAAAGGAAAACAATATTCCAACAATGATTCTCGTTGAATCTTTTCTGAAGTATCTCACTGCTGCGTCGTCGATCTGCTGCAGGATGTGTTTGCAGAACTTCAGCAGCTGTGATATCAATTTAAAAAACAAAGATGTAAGCGTTTAATTTATACAAAGATATAAAGTTAATATTTGCTCAATACTTTTTTTATTTATTGGAGATAATGTTCTGTTACCTTTGCTGGAATCACACGATTTAGTCTTGATGATATGAATCAGGAAAGCTATAATAATCAAGCTTATAGCAAAGCAGCTGATAACAGAGACAGAGCTATTACGGCCGTCCGACTGTCGGCTCCTGAAAACATATAAAAACATATTGTGTTAAGATGTTTCACTAAAATCTTCCAGGTAGATTCAATTGTTTGAAAATGAATGTTAAAGAATGATTCATATTGAATGCTCTGCAGTTACCTTTGATGTCAATCTTTGTCCCTTTTCCAAACAATATCTCTCCACATGCGGCCACAGCACAGAAATAAGTCGAGGCGTCGGAGGAGTTGACGGTCTTTGAGAAGCTGTAGACACATTTCTGTGGAGAGTGAGCCTCTGGACTCTCCTCACATCCTCCAGATCTGTTTCCATGAGTGTAAATGACACTGGGATGATTTTCATCTGATCCGGCTCTGAACCAGAACACTCTGTGTTTCCCTGGACATGTGTTGTTTTCAGACTCAGAGAGAACAGAACACTGCAGAGTCATCAGGTCTCCTGGGTGGACTGGATCCTGTGAAATGTCTTGAACGACTGAGGTGATACTGGGCTCTGGTCCTGAATAAATTCAACACAAAGTAAATATGCTGGATTTGATAAAATATTTCAATTTGGAATCAATGCTGTTTATGAATGAGTTCGTTTTTTTAAGATTTTTCTTATTTAATCTGCAGAAATGTTCCTTTTAAAACTGTCATATTAATCTCTCTTGTTTCACACAAAAGTAAAGTCCAGTGTCTCCGACTTTTCTTTATCGATAATCATGACAAACTTTCCAGGTTTTTGTTTTGCTGTGATTCGAGGAGTTTTGTGAACGTCGTCATATTCAAAGCTAAATGTTCCTCCAAAACCTCAGGCAAATCTCAGAAACGAGCCGGAGCCAGAATAATTGTGTTGAATACAAGAATCACGAGACACGTCAGAGTCACATCATCTCCAACACAACAGTCTTTGTCTCAAAGTTCTCATAGATGGTGCATCCTGAAGAAAATAAATATATGTCAGTGTTTAACAACAGAGAAAGATCATGTATGCTCTGTGCTAAAAATAAAACATATTAACCCTTAAAAGATCAGAATTAGACGAGAAGATTGGACAAAACTTACGAGCAAGTGTGAGCGTCAGTAGAAAAACAAGAACAGACTTCATTTTCTCTTCGTCCTTAATACAGCAGTAGAATGAACTCGTATGAGAAGCTGCTTCTCCTTCATAGAACCATATAAAGTAGGAGGGAACAATCACAGGGCAATCTGATTGGCCCTTCATTATGAGGGTATTACTTTACAACCACAGTGGAATTTTTTTGACCGTCTTTCAAGCTAAAGCACATGAAACAATGAAGCAGCAAGCTTCTGTTTCAAGTTTTCATGGTGGGTTTCTGTACCTGCTGCTGACGGAAACACACTAACTACAGTTTTCTTCATTTTTTTCCACTCTGTATAAAAGAAGTGTATGAACACTGAAGCCAACCAGTGAGCACAATGTTGGCATTTTTGCAAATACTACAATGGTTCTTTGGAACCAGAAGTGACCATATCTGGACCTGGATGTGGATACACATTAGTCCTTACACACAGACACGCCACTTCTGTGTTTGTGGTTTATTGTCCCTTTTGGAGTATTCTGTGAGGGTGTGTGGTCTTTGATGTGTGTGTGTTTGTGTATGTGTAAAGATGGCGGCCTGCTCAGACTCTGCGGCCTGGAGCTCTCCATTAGATACACTGGATTTCCCAACAAAGGAAATAAATCCTTGGACATGTTTTCTGCAACATAGCAGGGTTTACAAGCGTCCTCTCCCCACATTGGCCGGTCTGACCACATCAGCCTGCTTGTGACCCCATATACAGACCTCTCATCGTAAGGATTAAACATCACGCTTTGTACCATCGGGGTCTGGCCTGAGGGAGCAATGCCCAGGCTACAGGACTGCTTCGATGAGACAGACTGGTACATCTTCAAACAAACTGCCACACAACAACCACACAGACTTAAACACTTTGCCTTACCTCTGCTGCACTCAGCACCTTCTGCATGGGCAATATAACCACAGAGATGAACATACATGCACTCCCAACCACAAACTGTGGATGAATGCAGCTATGGTTAACCTGTTGAAGGCTTGTGAAACTGCTTTCCGCACAGGTGGCCTACAGTACAGCGGGTCCAGACTGAGGAAAGGCATCAGACAAGCGAAGCGCTGCTACAAAATGCGTATAGAGGAGCTCAGACTCCTGACGCATGTGGCATGGCATCAAGACCATAACAGGCTATGCAGGCAACAACAGCAGCCCAACACACACTGCCAACTCATCTCTCCCTGAGGACCTGAACCACGTCTTTGCCAGGTTTGATTGTAGAGACAATCTCAACAACCCATCACTGACACTGCAGGGGGCATGCAGGTGGGCTGATGCTGAGCCCTACTAGGTGAGACGCCTAGAACAACTTCATCCAAACAAAGCCACTGATCGGGTTACAGGAAGGGCCCTGAACACTGTGCAGGACAGCCAACAGCAGTGTTCACCAACCTATTTAACATCTCCCTGAAGCAGGCAACAGTCCCAACCTGCCTCAAGTTGGCCACAATTCCTCCAGTGCTAAAACAGACAGCAATCAGGTCACTGAGTCATTGACACTGGCGCTGACACCGGTTGTGATGAAGTTCTTTGAACGCCTTGTTCTGGCACATCAAGAGCAACATGCCACTCTCCTTGGACAAACACCCAACACATGAGGACGCAGTGTCACTGGTCCTCCCACTGCACAGACACACTTTGATCAGCGGGATGCTGTTCATTCACTTCAGTTCAGCTCCGCTTTCAACCTAAACCACCCCACAACCTGGCCACAAAACTGATCCGCTGGGCATTAACTCCTGTGCAGCTGGATCAATGTTTTCCTCACTGACAGGCCACAGACTGTACTGTGTCCATGGTAAAGCATGTCTCCACTCCATCATACTGAACACAGGTGCGCCGCAAGTTGACCATCCTAGTTGGCTGAAACACCAACAACAATAAGTCAGCCTACAGAACAGAGGTTGAGAACTGGGAGCCGAGACAACAACCTGATCCTCAATGCGGTGAAGATGAAGGAGATTGTCCTCGACTTCAGGAGGCTGAAGCCCAACATTAACGGCAAGACAGTGGCGGTCGTGCACAGCTTCAAATACCTAAGTGCCCACGTCAGCCAGGACGCGACTTGGTCATCAAACCTCAGCGATGGCCAAAAGCTCTTCAGAGTCTCACTTCCTGACATGCCTGAAGAAGGTGTGACTTCCAAATCAGCTGCTGGTGAACTTCTACATGTCAGACATAAAGAAGATAAAAAAGATCCAAACGATAACACGGGGGCATTAGCTTTAAATTCAAAATAAACAATACCAGACCACGCTGATAGGAATCAGCTCGCCTAGGCCACTTCCTACGCCTGCCGTCCGGTACACACAGCACCTGACCCCATGCCAATCCTGAAGGTGGTGCGCCACAGTGGCAGCTCCATGTTGTTACTTCGGGTTGAACCCGATTGGGCCCATGTAGGAAAGCCTGACCACTAGACGCTTGCGTCAGGCCCCCCAGGTCTGGCTCCAGTGAGGTGAGAGATGAGATTTCAACTTTATTGTCATTACACATATACAAGTATAGAGTAACGAAATGAGGTTTGGCATCTCACCAGAAGTGCAAATAAGCAGAAAGTGCAAGAGTCTGTGCTTATGTAAAGTAATTGAGTGCAAGAGTCTGTGCTAT